GTTTGTTGCTAATGTACAGAAATGCTATTGATTTCTGTGTGTTGATTTTGCATGCTTCAACTTTACTACATCCATCAGTTCTAATAGTTTTTTGCTGGAGTCTTTAGTGGGCTTTTTAAATATGTATAATTATGGCATCAATGAAGAGTGGCAATTTCACTTTTTTTGTTGGATGCCTTTTATTTCTTTCTCTCACATAATTGCTCAACGAGGACTTCTCCATTATTATGTTAAATAGTAATGACAAAAGTGGGCATCCTGACTTCTTCTAGGTATCAGAGAAAGGGCTTTTGATTTTTTGCTATTGAATATAAGGTTGCTGTGGGCTTCTCATATATGACCTTTTTTTTATTGGGGTTCATTCCTTGTATACCTAATTTGGCGAAAGTTTTTATTATAAAAAGAATGCTGAATTTTTCAAATGGTTCTTCTGAATCTAATGAGATGATCACATGCTTTTTGTCCTTCATTATGTTAATGTGTTATATTACATTCATTAAAATCTGTGTATGTTATTAAAATAAGCATCCTTGCATCCCGGGGACAGATCCCACTTGATCATGGTGGGTGATTCTTTCAGCATATTGCTGAATTCAGTTTGCTAGTGTTTTGTTCAGCATCTTTGCATCTATGTTCACCAAGGATCTTGGCCTGTCATTTTCTTTTCTTGCAGTGTCCTTGTCTGGCTTTGGTATCAGGGTAATGCTGGCTTCATGAAAAGAGTTCGGAAGTATTTTCTCCTCTTCATTTTTTTGTAAGACTTTGAGGAGGATTGGATTTAGCTCTTTAAATGTTTGATATCATAGCACTCAGCAGTGAATTCATCATGTCCTGGGCTTTCCTCTGATGGCTTTTAAATGACTGATTCAATCTTCTTACTCATTATTCCTGTTCAGATTTTTCATTGCCTCATGATTCAGTCCTGGTAGGTTGTATGTGTCTAGAAGTTTATCCATTTCCTTTATGCTATTTAACTTGTTGGCATATATTAATAATTGTTTTAGTGTCTCTTATGACCCTCTGTATTTGTGTAGTATCCATTGTAATATCTTCTTTTTATATTTCTGATGTTATTTGAGTCTTCTCTTTTTTCTTAGTAAAGTTAGCTGAATATTTGTTAATTTTATGTATCTTTTCAAAAAAAACCAATTCCGTTTGTTAATCTCTTGTGTTGTTTTCTTAGTCTCTATTTTATTTCTTTTATAATCTTTATTGTTTCCTTCCATAATGTTAAATGTTTTTGTTCTTTTGAGATCTCTCTTCTTTCTTGATGTAGGTATTTATTACTATAGCTTTTCTCTTAGAACTGCTTTTGCTGCACCCCCTATGTTTTGGGTATATGGTATTTACATTTTCATGTCTCAACATATTTTTAAATTTTCCTTTTCTTTATTGACTCATTGTTTATTCAGGAACATGCTGTTTAATTTCCATATATTTGTGAATTTTCCAATATTTCTTCTTTTATTGATTTCTAGTTTTCTACCATTGTGGTCAGAAAAGATACTTAATATGACTTTAACCTTCTTAAATTTGCTAAGGCTTGTTTTTTGTGTCCTAATATGTGCCCTGCCCTAGAAAATATTCTGTGTGTGCTCGAAAGGAGTGTGTATTACGTTACTGTCAGATAGTGTCGATGCTGATGTATATGTCTGTTAGGTTCATTTTGCCTAAAGCATTGTTCAAGTTCATTGTCTCCTTATTAGTTTTCTGTTTAAATGATCTGTTTATTGTTGAAAGTGGGTATTGAAGTTTCCTACTATTATTGCCTTACATTATGTCTCTCCTTTCAGATACTTAAATATTTGTTATTTATATTTAGGTTCTCTAATGTTGGGTGCGTGGATATTTACGATTTTACAAATTTTATAAATTATTACAATATTACACATTTACAATATCTTCTTAATTGACCCCTTTATCACTATAAAATGTTGTTTGTTTCTTTTTACAGTTTTTGACTTAAAGTCTATTTTGTCTGAAAGAAGTGTAGTTACTTCTGATCTCTTTTAGTTTCCATTCACATGGAATATGTTTTTCCATTCCTTCACTTTCAGTTTATATGTGTTCTTAAAAGTAAGGTGAGTTTCTTGTTGGCAGTGTGTAGTTGGATCTTAAAAAAAATCTATTCATTCGCTCTGTTTTTTTGTTGAAAAATTAATCCTTTTACATTCAACATAATTATTGATAGGTAAAGACTTGCTACTGCCATTTTATTAATTGTTTTCTTTTTTTAAAGATACTTTGTTTCTTTCTTCCTCTCATTGTCTTTCTTGTGGTTTCATTGTTTTACACTGCTGGGTACTGTGATGGCTTCTTATCATGTCATTTATAGGATGTATTTCCTGGCCAGGCAATTATGATATTTGGTATCTGAAGTTTAGCAGCATTTCAGGTCAGGCTCCAAGGTTAGGTGGACAGGCAAGATCAGAGGCTATGCTCCTTAGAAATGCACAATTGAAGATCACCTTTGTGAGAATGGAGCCATGGGTTGACTTTTGGCTGAAGTGAGCAGCTGTTTGACCTTCCTGGTCAACTGGGACTGTTTTTGATTCTTCTTCAAAATGCACTGAGGTAGAAGATTCCCTGCCTGGGTAGGTTGTTGGCAGGCATTTTGGCTGAGTGGAGCCACTGCTTGACTTTCTGGATCAATTAAATCTAGCTTTTATCTTTCTCTAGGATGGGCAAAGATAGTCATCTACCTGCCTGGGTTGGGTCATTGGGGTGGTCTCTGAGGCCAGGAGTCGAATCTAGCTATCTAGGAACTTAAGCTAGATTGTACTTCCCAAAGTGGTTCTGAAGGAGACTAGCTCAGCTTCATAGCTTTTGGGTCATGAAACTGGCTGGTATTTCTTATAGGAGGCCATGGCTGGCAGAAGCACAGAGGTACCATCAAGATCCATGTGCTGGTCACTATGACTTCTGCCTCCTTTCTTTGTTTCTACCTAATCTGGTGCAATCTAGTTGTCCTCCTATCCTCAACATTCCCTGTGAAATGAGACTGGAGTCAGCTTTCCTGGAAAGCATCTTGGAATGCTAGGGAAGACGGATAATTACCTCTGGTTCTCTTTCCCCCTATAGAAACCATGGCCCAGGAAATCTTCTCCATCTGGCTTTGTGTCCTTCTTAGGGGGAGGAAAAGGCGTACCATAGTCAAAGTGAGATCGTTCTTCTTACCCATCCCATTTGGTTTTCATTCAGTTCTGTGGACCACATGGGTGTCTCAAGCTTGTTTTCAAGTATTGGAGCCTTCAAAAAGACATCCTGGTCTGTGGATAATTGCTAGTTGAACTTTCTATAGAGTTAAGTCTGAGACTTTCTATCCTGCCATCTTGCTGATGTCACTCCTCTAGGCATGAAGTATTTAGTTCTGGAGGCTGAGAAGGCCAAGATCAAGGCACTGAAAAAGTCATTGTCTTTCTGGTGAAGACTTGTTCTCTGCTTGTTGCTACGTCCTCACAGGGCAGAAGGTGGAAGAGTAAAAAGGCCTAATTGTTATATTTTAATTTTTTGGCTTATTTTGGCTTATTTTTTTTCTCAACATTTTAACCTGATTTAGTTTTGCCTTGTTTATTTGTTTTACTATTTTTTATTCTTTCTTTCTTTCTCCTCCTCATTCTTTTTCTTCCTCTTCTTCTTTCAGAAACAGTCTGTCTCTCTCACTCAGATTGTGGCACAATCTCAGCTCACTGCAGCTTCAACCTCCTGTGCTCAAGCAATCCTCCTGTTTTAGCCTCTTGAGTAGCTGGGACTATAGGCATGTGCTATCATGCCCAGTTAATTTTGGTATGTTTTGTAGAGACAGAGTTTACCATGTTGCCCATGTTAGTCTCCAACTCCTGGGCTCAAGAGATCCGCCTGCTGGCCTCCCAAAGTGCTGAAAATACAGGTGTGAGCCATTGTATCCAGCCTGTTTGTTTTAATATGAAGTTCTTAATTTATGTCACAACTTTCTAACCTCCTTTTTTCTCTTGCCTTTTTTGTATTCTTAAGTTTATTTCTGTTCCTTGCTAAATTTTCTTCTTTTTCTTTTTATTCCTAACTTTAAATTTTTATTTTATGTTATGTTTATGTTTTCATAATGGCAGGCAGCAATGGAGAAGAATCCTATTGGGAGAGGAAAGATGACAACTGAGAGTCTCTTTAGATGTGATTGTGAAGATCAAAGAGGTTTACATTCATGAAAACATATATGCTTTAAAGCAGTTTACAAAATGTATGTCTGTTTCACTGTCAACCTTTTTACCTCTCAGGAGGATAATTCCTTTTGACTCCACAATAATTATTTACATCTGTACATGGGAATGTTTCTTTTTTATTTGTGTGGTTTTGGTTTTAAAGCATTTAATCATTATGAGACTCCTAGAATTACTGTATCATGTACCCTCTGAAGGCAAGGTTCCCATCTAATTTATCTTTCTAAGACCTAAAATTCAATAAATGTGCATTAAGGCAGATTTCTTTGGGAGAAGTGACACAAAAACTATGTATTCATGCTCTATATCTATTGTGCTTTACTCAAGGCTAAGACTGCCTTGATGAGGGCAAGTGCAGGAAGATTCTGAGCCCGTCTGAGAGTAAGTGGTGAAGATTTAAGAAGGTGGGGCAGGAAACTCAGACAGAGAGAACTGTCAGGAAGCAGAAAAGTGGTTGGCAAAAGCAACCACTGAAGGACTGATCTCACCTCTAATTCTTCCTGGACTGGGGATAATGTAGAGGGCTTATCTCTATCAAATGAACTTTTGCTAGCATTTCCCAGAATCGTGACTTGCCACTGTGTTCCCATCTGGGATCTGGAATTTGGAAGATAAGGTAAGAACTTTGGAAGGAATTCAGGGGACACTTAGTTAAATTGGGTCAAAATGTGTCCATTCTCCAGCCTCTGTCTTGGCAGTGACACGTTGGAAAATGGTTCCATTATGATTGAACAGCCAGGGAAGAGTGGAGCTTATTTATATTCATTCTTTTCCACTTTATTTTCTATAATCTGTGTCTTTTAGAAATAAACTATCGATCTTGCCCAGACTGGAGAAAAGACTGCAGCAGCAACCCTGTTTCAGTATTCTGGAAAACAGTTTCCCGCAGGGTAAGTACCAAGCAGTGAAATTCTAGAGCTTTGGAGACCACAGAACTTAAGATGTCATCCAGTCAGTGCTTGGTTTTAACACTTTTGGATTACAGATCCTTTTAGGAATGAAAATATAGGATTCATCCCTGAGAAAAAGGTTCAGAAGCACATGCCAGAAAATGTACACATTCAATTTTAGAACATTCATAGATGTCCATGGCCTCCAGTTGCAGAATCTTGGCTCTTACACACTCTTTGACTTTGGCTACCAGGAGCCTGGGGTTTAATTCTCTGATTCAGGTATTAATCAGTCTTAGTTTCCTGAGCAGTTGTAACAATCTACATACGTGGACCACTTACTATGTGCCAGATACAGTCCTCAGCTCATGTGTGTGTGTGTGTGTGTGTGTGATGAAGTCTCGCTTTGTTGTCCAGAATGTAGTGCAGCATCATGATCTCAGCTCACTGCAACCTCTGCTTCCTGGGTTCAAGCAGTTTTAGTGCCTCAGCCTCCCAAGTAGCTGGGATTACAGGTATACGCCACCACACCTGGCTAATTTTTGTATTTTTTTTCCTGAGAGAGTATTGCTCCATCACCCAGGCTGCAGTGCAGTGGCACAATTGGCTCACTGCAACCTCCGCATCCCAGGTTCAAACAATTCTCCTGCGTCAGCCTCCAGAGTAGCTGGGATTACAGGCACCCACTACCACACCCAGCTAATTTTTGTATTTTTAGTAGAGATGGGGGTTTCACCATGTTCTTCAGGCTGGTCTCGAACTCCTGATCTCATGATCCACCTGCCTCAGCCTCCCAAAGTGCTGGGTTTATAGGTGTGAGCCATCACGCCTGGCCAGTCCTCAGCTCTTTATGTGAACTAAAAACTTACATCTTCACCAGAGCCCTGTGAGGCAGGTACTGTGAGTATTGTACTCATTTAACACATAAAAATGTGAAGGTACAAGTAAATAAGGAATCTACTGAATGTACAGACATAGTAAGTGGCATATGTGGGAGTTTATCCCGAGATGTCTGACTCTAGATTCAAAATCTAGGCTGGGAAATACACCATGGCACCCTCTACCTATTTTTTAAATTGATACATAATAATTTAACATATTTATTGGATATATAGTGATGTAATACATGTAAGGTATAGTGATGCGATCAGGGTAATTAGCATATTTATCATCTCAAACATTTATCATTTCTTTGTGTTGGGAGCATTCAACTTCCCCCTCCTGGCTAGTTGAAACTATTTAATATATTATCAACTATAGTCATCCTACAGTGCTATCGAGCAACAGAATTTATTCCTCCTATCTAACTATAATTTTGTATTCTATAACAAATCTCTACCTATCCCCTCTCCTCCTACTTTTCTCAGATTCTAGTGGCCTCTGTTCTGACTTTTACCTCTGTAAAATCAGCTTATTTTTAGCTTCCATATATGAATGAGAACATGCAGTATTTAAGCATCTGGGACTACAGGCATGGGCCACCATGCCTTGCTAATTTTTGTATTTTTAGTAGAGAGGGGGTTTTACTACGTTGGCCAGCTTGGTCACAAACTCCTAACCTCAGGTGATCTACCTGCCTTGGCCTCCCAAAGTGCTGTGATTACAGGGATGAGTCACTGTACCTGGCCAGGAATACATTTTTTAATGCCTGAATACAATTCCATTGTGCACATATACCCCCATCTATTTATGACTTTACTCAAAGCTGACTGTGTATATTTATTTATCTTGTAAATTGCTTCACTGTAAGTGGACAAGGAAACATTCCTTTTCAAGTGTATTAGGAAAAAAAGAGAAAGAAAGGAGGAAACCAATGAAAAAAGAAGGTGGAAGTAACAATGTACTAATTATAATTCTTCAAAATTAAACTTGGACATCTGAGGAGTTGGGCCAGGTGGAAATGTGTTTGTTAAGTGCATATGTCTTAGTCCATTTGTGCTTCTGTCACAAATTACCTGAGACTTGGTAATTTTTTTAAAAGCAGGAATTTTATTTTCTCATTGTTCTGGATACTTGGGAAATCAAGGATTAAGGTGCCAGCAGATTGGATGTCTGGTGAGGCTGCTTTCTGCTTCCAAAATGCCTTCTTGCTGTGGCCTCACATGGCAGAGGCAGAGGGGCTAAAGGAACCTACCTAATTCCCCAGAGCCCTTTTATAAGGGCATTAATCCCCTTAGGGCCCAATTTTCTCCTAAAAGACCCACCGCTTATTACCATCACACTGGTCTTAGGTTTCAGTATAAGAAACATTCAAATGCGCATACATTCAAATCATAGCAGCATGTCTGTGACAAGCCTTGAGGAACATTCCTGTGTCATTCCCACTGAGTCATCCCCATAGGTGGTGTGACAAATCCCCACATTAAAGGCGAAGAAACTAAGCCTCAGAAGTTAAGTGACTCATCCAGGTTCCCTGGGATAATAAGCGGCAGAGCCAAGAGCCCAACCTTGGTCTTCCTGATTCCAAAGCCATGCTCTTCAATTTTGTTCTTTGAATCTGCTTATTAATTCTATCTTTTAAATAACAGTTTGATTTTAACTCTGGGTTGTGCCTAGCTAAACCTCTGTCTTAGGGGGATTCATGTAAATCCTACTATGATGGAGACAGGGAAACAGGCCGAAAGTTGACATAAGGAGACTGTGTTTAAACTTGGGGCAGATTCTTTTACTCATTCTGATCTTCAGATTCCTCATTTGGCAAATGGAAATCAAAATATGCCTGTTCCATTGGGTCACTGCAATGTTTAAAATGAGATACCACTATCCTGTAACGTAACTCACAATCCACCCACTTTGAAAATAATGTATATTCCACCTGCCCCAGCACCTCCAATGTCTAAGTTTAATTTTGAAGCATTATAATTAGTACATTGTTACTCCCACTTTCTTCTTTCATTTCTTTCTTCCTTCCTTTCTGTTTTTTTCCTAATACACTTGAAAAGAAGTGCTTCCTTGTCCACTTACACTAAAATTGTAAGTTGCTTACTCTGAAGCAACTTACAAGATAAATAAATATACACAAACTGAGTGCTTACTATGGACAGTGAGCGATCATTGGCACTTTATAGTTTTTGCTTGTTTGCTTTTTCTGAGAAGTTTGTTTCACCACTCTATGGTATATTTTAGGGCAGTGCTGTCGCTCAGAACTTTTAAAACCAAGTCACATTTTATATGTATCAAGAACATTCTTGTGTTCTCCACTCAGTCCTTGGCACTGGGAGTAGAGAAGTACTCAGGGTTGAAGGCATCCTACCCCGTGAGCTACCGGCACCTTTATCTTTGCCATTCACGCACGGACCTATGTGGATGCCCTTCTTTTTTCAGACTTGATCCTTTCTTTTTCTGATAACAGAGGCAGTGTTTTTTTTTTTTAATTTTTAATTTTTGTGGGTAGGTTAAACTCATCATGATAATACGATACAGTTGGATAATGTGGAGGGAATGTAGGATGCTGTCAGAGTCAGTGAAGGGGACCTGAGCTAGTTCCAGGGGGTTGGGGAGGCCTCCTGGAGGGAGCATATAGGCCACTTTATTTTGTTCATTTTTTCCAAAGCCTAACAAAGATTCCTGCTGAAGGTTTGTTGCATGAAGAAATAAGACACTTTGCTCAAGCATATCTATTCATTCATTTATTCAGTCCTCCTTTCTCTCTGTGCCTTTCCAGGCCTGAGGGTAACCTCTTCTCTCCTCGGTTTCCCCTTTTGTGGTGTTCCCATTTCCCTTGTCTCTGAATCATCCACCTGCTCCCACTAAACAAGTGTAATGTCTACAGTGAATGACACTGAGAAAGCACTTTCATCTTTCTCCTCTAGACATTCCTCTTACTCATCTGGACTTCTAACTTCTGAACCACTGAATTCAGCAGCTCTGTAAACTACAACAATGAACATTGTTCACTTATAGATTGGAGCAACTGCTTCAAGAATTCTGATATGAAGCATAATCCGTCCAGTGGCTTGGAATGAAAATTATGTAGATCTGACATTCCAGTGCTTAAACCATATAGAACATCTTTGATTAACAACTGTCGCTAAGTGTTGTTCTGAATGAAACTGCTAGAGCATGATGATTAAGTTTGCACGATGAATGGTGGACATTTCTTTTTTTTTAAGTTTGCAGAATCTGCTTGTGGTGTGGTCCATGTGATGCTCAATGGGTCCTGCAGTAATATCTTTGACAAAAAGAGGTACACATTCATTTTGCCTCCTGTTTGCAAGTATAGTGTTGCGAATTTCACAGTGGATGTTTCATCCCTAGAAAGAATATGCTTTTCATGTTTCAGGTCAGTTCTGAAGATCTGAGCCAAAAAAGGTAAACATTTTGAATTCTATGGAGAAAGTTGTCTCCTACGTCAATGCTTTTGTCTGATTTCTTCTTTGCCGAAAATCCTCTACCAGGTTCTAATGGCCACTGCACTATATCTATCCCCTGCTCTTAACTTCTCCAGATATGGGGTAATTTTCTTAGCTTTCTCTCCCGTTATATTTCACCCTACCCATTGATCACCGTTGTTCACACTGTTCACATACGACCTGCCTCCCCTGTTCCCTTCTGTCTAAATCCTCACCATCCATGAAGACCCGCTTTACCTCCCCTTTCCTCCAGGAAGAGTGTAGTAATCTCAGTTCAGTAGTATCCCAAATCAGTAGTAAAACTATTACTGGGAACATTGGGAACTGTGCTGGGCTCTTGGGAAACTATTACTGGGAACATTGGGAACTTCACTGTCTTTTTGCAGACATTGTCAGCAATGTATTTGTATTGCAGTGGTTAAAAGCAGGTACTGGAGGTCATTACATATTATCTGTGTGACCTTACGTGGGGCACTCAACCTCTGTAAGCCCCTGTATAAGTACCTGAAGAGGTGATGGTGTTGGGAAGATTAACTGAGACAATGGATGGAAAGTGCTGAGCTCTGTGCCTGACAACGGAGAAAGTGCTCAGTAAGAATCAGCTATCATTCTCATTTGATGATCCTCACCAGTGAATCTGGCCACACCTGTGCCTTCTTGTCTGATCTCCTACACTTACAGTTTTTGCTACATCAATTGCCTTTTTGGTCTTTGCTCTCTAATTTTTGTTCTCTAATCCCACATAAGGCTGACTGAAAGGAGGAAGCATACATTAATCTGCCTTGGAAACTCTAGGTGCTCCACATAACTTTTCTTCTCTCCTGTTTTGATATTTACTTATACAAGGAAGCATTTGTCCTTTTGTCTTCTGATCCCAATTTTTTGGTTGAAAGCATTAACATTTCAGAAGTTTACGATCTGATATTATGATTTAAGTACTGGAGTGTCAGTTGCCAGAGACTAACAGGAAAGAGTTTAGGAATGGGATTAAGTCAGGCCACTATGGACTTTCCAAGCACTGCCTCTCAAACTTTGCTGAGCATGTGAATCACTTTGGGATCACTCAACTGCAGATCCTTTCAGCAGGTGGTGGTGGCTGAAGTTCTACGTTGCTAATGACATCACCTGTTCATTAGGTTGGTCTAAGGACCACTCTTCAAATAGCAAGTATTTAAGGAATCAATATAATTGCACAATTTAAGAATTTTATTTTGAGAATCTTGTTAATCGAGGGTCATGCTGAATAAGATGTTATTGATTTGCAATTTGATGGGTCAACTCCAAAGGATAGGTCCTAGCCAGTGCCATCCTGCCTGCTGGTTTTTAAGGGGGCGTGGATGCTTTAGTTTGGGGTTGATGGTGTTCTTTTCTTCTTCTATTTTAGCACTTTTGGGAGTGTGGAAGTCCATAATTTGCAACCAGAGAAGGTTCACACACTAGAGGCCTGGGTGATGCACGATGGAAGAGGAGATTCCAGGTATATCTTACTACTTGGTACCCAAGGGATATTTCATGAATCAGTTCATGAAAGCATCCACAGTCACAAGAACTTGTTGGGAGCAAACTGATTCAGAAGATGAATGTACATGAATCTCATCCCAACAGCCTCTTAACTTTATTTCTGCAAAGGATATTTACCTGCTTCACACTTCAACTCTCCTGCTGACCCAGGAGCTCTTAGACACTGGGCTTCTGCTTTGCCTCTTAATCTAAGGGTCTTGCCCAGGGCCTGCTACAAAAACAAAGAGACTCAAAATGTGTTTGTGAGGTCTTGTAATATCCTACTTTCTTCTTTCTTCCCCAGAGACTTATGCCAGGATCCCTCCATAAAAGAGCTGGAATTGATTATAAGCAAAAGGAATATTACATTTTCCTGCAAGAATATCTACAGGTAATTGATTTCTTCTTGAAGAAAAAAAAATGACTATCTTGCCATCTGTAGAATTTCCTTTTATCCTTAGCCTCCTCTGAGCTTGGAGGGCTGTGGGAATCTTTCCTGGGGCTTGATGATGATCTCAGATGGCAACATCTGGTGATCTCTGTCCCTCCTTCCAAGCCTAGTCCAGAAGATATTCCTAGCTAGTGGCCTTCACTTGGCCACCTTTCCCCAACCTTCTCTACTGGTCCCAAGTAGGACTTACCTCTAAAGCTGACACAACCTTTGACAGCATATGTACTGGTTCCCAGTGTGAGTGGCCCAGCCCAGGGTTCACTGGCCCACTAGTTTCAGGAGAGCAAGGGAATGATTTGCTAAGCCCTTTCTCCCAAGCTGTAAAATCCTTGTGACTTGACATCATTTTGCATGTGAAGCTTCCTTAGTTGGATCTCAGTACAAATGCCTAACATGGGATAAGGTGTCATATGGCAGTCTACCAAGATTTTTTTTAATAAAAAAATAAAATATTTTAAAACTTTTACTAATAATTTGTATTTACTAGAAGACAGTTTAAAATTACAGATAGATATATATTTTTAAAGTCACCTATAATTCTAGTTTCAAAACTAAGACCCCCTCACTCATTTTTAAGCAGTTGTGACCAATCGTGTAGATAGGGACTCACTGGTAGAAGCATCTTTGGAGATTTTCCCACACGTAATAGCTTGGAACAAGATTGATGCAGAAAGGAAAAGCTATTCAAAGAAGGTAGAAGCTGAGATGCTAGAATATTGTTTCTGTCAACTGCCATTACCGTCTCCCATTAACCACATCAGAAAAGTAGAAGGATAGATTTAAGGGATTCTTCTGATAGCTTTAGTTTCTCACATGACCTGAATTCCTCATCGGTCAGCTTGCTTCTCTCTGGAAACTGCTAGAAAAGGACATGAGTATTCTACAGCAGTTATACAGGAAAACAGAAAGAATGAATGAAGGAGCCACTGTAAAAAAATCTTGCAGATATCTGACCAGTCTAAGCTGTTCAAAGACATGTTGCATAAAGAAAATAGAATAGTAGCAACCTGGGTAAAGACTGGGAAATAAAGATGCCCTTATTCCCAATACTCTTTATTTTTTTCTCATTTTAAATATTAACCTTTTTTTCATAAATGACCAGAGGGCCTTTATATTACAGTTCATCAAACTCCTCATTTGTGTCTGCTCTAGGATCCAAGTGAGCTCACTCATTCTTCATCTGGAAAAAAATATGGGCATGGCTTCCATTTGGACTTGTACAGACAGTGGGAAGCAGGTCATTTATAAGCCAACACTTATTATTCAGAGCATCAGATCATGCGACTTTAAACTTGGGGATTGTCTTGAAATCACTGTTCATTTCCTCCAACCAGGAAGCTGTAATATATTCAGTATGACTCTTTGAATGACTGGATTGGCAGGACCCCCTTGTTGTGTCTAACTGTTGTGTGGCTTTAAAGAACAGTTGTTTGTCTCTAGGGGAGCCCAAGGTGAATGTCGTGGATACAGACATAGACTGTAGTTTAAATCTCTCCATTCCAAACATACATTTTCATTTTAGCAAACTTCTGTCTAGCTCTTTTGGTGTTACTATTTAATAATCAAACACCTCTTCCTTCCAGAAGTATAATTATATACATACATGCATATGTATATATTAGACCTATACAAATTAGACTTCCTGATGACTCTAATATTAATCTCTTAATAAATCTCATCACTCAGAGACAAACACTATTAACATGTATATTTCCAAGCCTCTTTTTTTTAATACATACACTCATGGTCCTGATAAAATGTATATGGAATTTCTTAACATAGGTTTATATGTTTTAACCAGTGGAATGAACAGTGGATATCATAAAATTAGCAGTCAGCATGATTTATCTGGCTAGGCCCTCTAGTGGCATGTAAAAAAAAAAACCCTAAAGGGTACATTAATTCCTGTATGTTGCTTCAAAACATCAAAATGTTCTCTCTCCATCAAAATGTTATTCTCTCCATCAAAATGTTATTCGACAGATGAAAAGTCATGTCCATTCTATGGGGACATTGGATATGAATACTTACATATTCCTGGAGAGGGATCATCTTAACAGCATAGGCGCTACTACTTTTTCAAAACTGAATTCCCAATTTGAAACTGGAATTCATAAACATAGTCATATTCTCCTCATTTAATGTAAAGCAAAGGTAGCTTCAAAAATCCTAAATAGTCTTGGAAAGATTTCTTTTCCATCGCAGCATTTCCTTAATAAAGAGGATAATTTGTTTTCCCAGAATGTCTTCATGAGGGGATCCCAGGTTACCATATTGGTGAGGATGGAGTGACTCTATATTTAGAGCTGCTGCACCCAGTTGGTCATGACAGTTGACTGGGGGTGAGCCTGAGGTGACCCATCACAAGGGCAGGTTCTGACACCTCTTCCTTCCAGAAGCCCAGGGGTGTTGGCAGCTGCTTCTGAGGATCTCCCTCTTCCTTGGCTCATATTTAGCAAAATCAAATTTAAAGAATCTCCTTCCTCGCTGTCTACCATCCCCCTATTCATGTGCCAGCCACTCCCATTGGGTCCTGTTGCTTTAACTAATTTTTGTGAAAATAATAGTCATTCACTTGTTAGATGCTTATCTAAGGTTTTTTCAGTGCAAAGGAAGTTTGGTCTCCTTGCTGAGGGTCTCCAGCCTTTCCCAGAGGATCTATAACCTCTGCTTTTTACCCTAGATCCAACACTCCCTCAGGAAGCTTCCCTCAGGAAGAAAATGAATGTTCAAGTTTTCAGAAAGCATTACATTTCCAAATGAATGACGTGTCGCATGATACATTTCTGTGCCCTTCTTTTCCCCCTGTAGTTCTAACGTGGGTATCTTTGCCATCTCTGGTCCAAGGACTTCCTGACCTACATGTATAAATATTCCCTCACTATGTATAATACTCCCTCAGGAGAAGAAAGCAAATTAGCCACAGAAACTATGGGGGTCCCTGGCCTTGGTTGCTGCTCCTGCTGTATTTTGATCATCAGCTGACAGGGACAGCTCCTCTCCTGACGTGTCACTGCAGGAGATGAATTTGTATGGATGCTAAGTGGTCTGTGCATATTGTTATAGCTAAAAAGCGGGTTTACCCCCATGTCTACTAAAAATACAAAAAATTAGCTGGGCATGGTGGCGCATGCCTGTAATCCCAGCTACTCAGGAGGCTGAGGCAGGAGAATTGCCTGAACCCAGGAGGTGGAGGTTGCGGTGAGCCGAGATCCCGCCATTGCACTCCAGCCTGGGTAACAAGAGCGAAACTCCGTCTCAAAAAAAAAAAAAAAGGGGGGGTTTCCTCCATTAGCAAATTGGACCACAGATGTATTCTATGGCTTCTTGATTTCCTTTTTTGCTTTCTTGTCATAGACCTGACAAGTTTCTTCAGTGTGCGAAAACTCCTGAGGACTCATCTTGCATATCTAAGATCTGAGCCAGTCGCTGTGGTGTTTTACCTCCTTGATTCCTTGTGGTTTATGTCAACATACATGACTCAGCGGACTTGCTGGTGCAGAGCCGAAGATTCTGGAGGGTCCTCCACAATAAGGTCAACACCAGAGATAGAAGCCTTTTCCCCCAAAGTCTTAAAATAACTTACATTATCAGCATAACTTTTATTGTGATCTATCAATAGTCAAGAAAAATGATTGCATAAAATTAAAATGAAAGTTTTACATTAATCCTTTCTACTGAAAAATGACCACACCAAACCTCTCTTATTAGAACAGGCAAGTGAAGAAAATGAATGCTCACGTTTTCAGAAAGCATTACATTTCCAAATGAATGACCTTGTCGCATGATACATTTCTGTGCCCTTCTTTTCCCCCTGTAGTTCTAACGTGGGTATCTTTGCCATCTCTGGCCCAAGGACTTCCTGACCTACATGTATAAATATTCCCTCACCATGTATAGTACTCTCTTATAAATGACTTCTCTACCGGATTACTGGTTGCTCATAAACCTCATATTTTGGCCGGGCGCAGTGGCTCACACCTGTAATCCCAGCACTTTGGGAGGCCGAGAAGGGTGGATCACGAGGTCAAGAGATCCAGAGCATCCTGGTCAACATGGTGAAACCCCGTCTCTACTAAAAATACAAAAAATTAGCTGGGCATGGTGGTGCGTGCCTGTAATCCCAGCTATTCAGGAGGCTGAGGCAGGAGAATTGCCTGAACCCAGGAGGCGGAGGTTGCGGTGAGCCGAGATTGCGCCGTTGCACTCCAGCCTGGGTAACAAGAGCGAAACTCCATCTAAAAACAAAAAACAAAAAACAAAACCCTTATATTTTACTCGTAAATGTGTTACTACTCCCTGTCTCCCTACTCCACTCTCATTTGCTGTAAAAATTTCTCTTACCATCCCAACTTTCACTCCCCATCGTGCTTACCTGAAGGTCGTGGGAATGACCTGGGCTTTAATGCCCCTTTTCTAACCTCCCAAGGCTCACCGTTTTCCTATTGTAATGGTTCTTCATCTTATAATGTTTGAGGCACATTTTCAAATATAGTCATTTGATTTTAGACTGAATACTTGAAAGGACATACACACACACACACACACACACAAATATATGTAAGTGCATATAACTGCATACACACACACACATGCCTGTATACAGTCATATGATACATATGCACACACACACGCCTATATACATAATATGCCACTTAACAATGGGAATGTGTTCTGAGAAATGCATCATTAGCTGATTTTGACATTGTGTGAACATCATAGATTGTATTTACACAAACCTAGATGGTATAGCCTCCTACACACTTGGGCTACACGGTATAACCTTTTGTTCCTAGGCTACAAACCTGTATAGCATGTGACTATACTGAATATGGCAGGCAATTTTAACACAATGATTAATGTTGGTATATCTAAACATAGAAAACGTGAACGTGCAGTATGATAATCTTATGAGACCACCATCATATATGTGTTCCATCATTTGGTCCATTGTTGGCTGAAAAGTATTTATGAGGCACATGATTGTGTATATCCTTTCCTGTTACAAAAACAGTGTCTCTCAGTCCACAGTAATTACGGCATTCAGTAGGTCTTACTTAAGCCCTGAGTCACCATTTGTGTCAACCTGTTTGGTGCCACGTCCAAATCTCTTACATAACCAGCAGACAAAGCTAGCAAATAATTTGGCAAAACGTCTTGTTTATTTGGCTTTGTCTTTGCAACTTTCTGTGCCTTTCATAGCTCTTGTTTGGAGGAAGCCCCACCCATGTCTGCACACTGTGATACAAAGGGGACAGCATCAACTTGCTTCTTGGTGCCTTATTCTTCCTTAGAACAATTCCTAAATCTGTAACTTAAGTTTCTCAGGAAGATTCCATACTGCACAGAAAAACTGCTTTTATGAGTTTTTAAAAGGCAAATTGTTATATGTGCTGGATAATTTTTATGTATGACAGATAAAAATTGTATAAAGTAAAATATTAAAGTACACCTAGAAAACTGTATAACTTTAAGTCATTTTATAAACACATTGCTATTTTCTCACAGTTTTTCTTAGAATAATAAAGCAATTAATTTACTTATACTATGAAGAGTCATCATTTTAATACATATTTTAAGCAATCCACCAAGAACTCAGTAGCCAGCTGAGAGGTGGTGTCTAGAGAGGTGGTGCTTAGCTGGGCCTTAGCTCACACACACAAAGCACAACAGGCTTTGAACTATCCCCCAACAGGGCATTTATCCTTGAACTTGATTCAGAGAGACACACATTACCATTCTCTAATTGGAATGCAAGTAGCACAAGGCAGTGAAAACTATGGAATTAAGAGGCAGTGACACATTGGGCAAGTTTATTAACATCTGTGACTCTCTAGTTTGAAATATATTTGTAACAGACAAAAATGAATCATACAAACAATAAAATCATAATGAAGAGCTGTGTTGAATAATTATTTTAAAAAGAGTTGTTTCCGGGTTTGAAAGAATTAAGGGACAGGTTAAGTGGGTGGTACACCGCAGACAACAGGACCTCCCACCTACTGCACCCCATGATTGAGTGAGTTAGGTAGCTGGGAAAGGATAGGTCACTGTCCTGGTGTGTCTCATTAGTGGAATAAGTGGGAATAGATGCCAACAAGAGTCCATGCTGCTGTCTACAAAGACCTGAGAGTCCTTACTCACACCTCTTTATCCTTTGACACATCGAAGAAGAAAGAATGATGTTTTTCAGTAGGAGTCTCACATTTAAGAATCACATCATGACACACCTTTTGTTCTCTATTAACAAGAGTCACCTTGAGACCCAGCAGGATTTAATGTAATGACAACGAACTGTGTGATTCTTTTTTTTTTTTTTTAACTTTTATTTTAAGTTCAGGCATACATGTGCATGCTTGTTACATAGATAAACTTGTGTCATGGGGGTTTGTTGTACAGATTTTTTATAGTTTTTGAGATGGTGTCTCGCTTTGTTGCCAGGCTGGAGTGCAGTAGTGCAATCTGAGCTCACTGCAACTTCCACCTCCCAGGTTGAAGTGATTCTCTAAGCCTCCCGAGTAGCTGGGATTACAGGCGGTGCCACCATGCCCAGCTAATTTTTTTCAGATTTTTAGTAGAGATGGGGTTTCAACCTGTTGGCCAGGATGGTCTCAATCTCCTGACCTCATGATCCAACTGCCTTGGCCTCCCAAAGTGCTGGAATTATAGGTTTGAGCCACCACACCCGGCCAAGAAAACCAATGTTTATTCTACAGGGCACTTCACATATTGTATCAGCCTGTGATCTCAGCTGTGACAACAGAACACCACTCTGGCTGTGTGTTAGTCAGGGTTCACTAGAGGGACAGAACTAATGGGATAGATGTATTATGAAAGCGAGTTTATTAAGGCGTATTGACTCACACAGTCACAAGGTGAAGTCCCACAATAAGCCATCTACAAGCTGAGGGGTAAAGGAAACCAGTCTGAGTCCCAAAATCTCAAAAGTAGGGGAGCCAACAGTGCAGCCTTTAGTCTGTGGCCAAAGGCCCAAGAGCCCCTGCCAAACCACTGGTTTAGGCCCAAGAGTCCAAAAGCTGAAGAACTTGGAGTCCGATGTGCGAGGGCAGGAAGCATTCAACGTGGGAGAAAGATGGAGGCCAGAAGACTCAGCCAGTATAGTCCTCTTATGTTCTTCTGCCTTCTTTTATCCTTGCTGCACTGGTAGCTGATTAGATGGTGCTCACCTAGATTGAGGGAGGGTCTGCCTCTCCTACTCACTGACTTAAATGTTAATGTCCTTTGGCAACACCCCCACAGACATACCCAGGAACAATAGTTTGCAGCCTTTAATTCAATCAAATTGACAATATTAACCATCACAGGCTGAAAATGAATTTTCCAAAAACAATCAAGAGCTTATAGATTCTCTAGGAAGGCAAGAAAATAGTTTGAAGCTACCTAGTCAAGAATAACACTCCAGATTACTCCACTGGGTTGTCAGGTTGAAAAGTTGCCACTTGCCCTGTGGACACTTGGCGGTCTCTCTGTCACTGCCAGAACACAGATGTGGCTATTTCTGGGAATAGAACTAACTAAAGAAAATGGTAGACAGTGCATGGTGCCTGCTTTCCTTCCTCACCGGCCACAGAATGATGGCCGACAGATCTGTTTGGTGTGTAAGGCCTAATACAGGTAAAATGCTTAGGACAGAGCTCAGTTTTTCTGTCTGTAAAATGGGAGTGATAAAAGTGTCTACCTTTTTGGGTTGTTTTGAGCATTAAGGTGATATGTGCTAAATTCTTAGAATAATGCTTAAAACATACGAAGAACTGTATCAATGTTAGTTAGCTCTTTTTTTTTTGAGCATGTTTTTATTCTGGAGGAAATTCCTTGACCAGTCTAACTAGTTTAGCCGCTGAGACCCTGAGACTCTGGGAGCAATGGAGAAGAGGGTAGAGAAGGGCTCTCCTGCCAACCAAGACTAGAGGATCAGCTAAAGTCTCTCACAAGCTTTGAATCATCCTAGATGGTTAGAACTTTCCCACCTAAAAGAGAAATAGACCAGATACTTTTCACTAAGAGCTGACCCATTCCAAGCTGCATTGACAAAATGCAGCGATAGACTCCACTGCTCACAAATCTAAGAAGTTCACACGTACAAATTTCATCCTTCAAGCTGATCAAGAGTTCAACAATCCCCTTTGGCATTGCCAATTCAGGACTCTTCTCTTCTGACTAGGTACTTACTGCTTTGATGATGGTTGAAATGTGCAGCCTTCCTTGGTGCAATGAAGCCAGAAGACAAGATGTGCTGGGAGTAGAAATTTTCTCCCTCTGGAATCAGAGAACTGAAAGAACATTGAGAGAGCAGAAGAGCTAAGAAGAAATGGGACAGCTGGCCCTGACCTTCTGCACAAGAACAAATCTCCCATTGTGAATAATATGTAATAATCATTCAGTTTTCCGAGGTTGCCTTCCAGGGAATTTTCCTGCACTGGTGGAATAATCAGATACAAGCTGGGGAGACAGAGAGAGAGAAAGAGAGAGAGAGAGAGAGAGAGAGAGAGAGAGAGAGAGAGAGAGAGAGAGAGAGATGCCCTGTGGGAGCTGCTGCTAAGTCCCAGATTCTTCTTCGACACTTCAGAATTGGATGACTTTGGCACTGGGCCACAGAAGTCATGAGCTTCTCTAGCCACAGCTTGTTTGGCCTGGTGCTGTGAGAGGAAGGAAGCAAGGTGGGATCTCATCAGACCTTTCCGCTATCAGCCTTTTAGAACACAGGTGAGTCTGTGCTATCAGATGGGATTATTTTTAAAGTGTGTTGTTTTGTCTAGGCATGGTGGCTCATGCCTGTATTCCAGCACTTTGAGAGGCTGAGGTGGGCATATCACGAGACCATCCTGGCCAACATGGTGAAACCCATCTCTACTGAAAATACAAAAATTAATTGGGCACAGGGGTGCACGCCTATAGTCCCAGCTACTTGGGAGGCTGAGGCAGGAGAATCACTTGAACCCTGGAGATGGAGGAGGTTGTGGTGAGCCGAGATAGTGCCAATGCACTCCAGCCTTGTGGCAGAGTAAGACTTTACAAAAGTCACAAGCATTCCTATACAACAATAACAGACTTAAAGAGAGCCAAATTACGAGTGAACTCCCATTCACAATTGCTACAAAGAGAATAAAATACCTAGGAATACAACTTACAAGAAATGTGAAGGACCTCTTCAAGAACTACAAACCACTGCTCAAGGAAATAAGAGAGGACACAAACAAATGGAAAAATATTCCATGCTCATGGTTAGGAAGAATGAATATTGTGAAAATGGCCTTACTGCCCAAAGTAATTAATAGATTCAATGCTATCCCCATCAATCTAAAAAAAAAAAATGGTTACCAGCAAATCAGCAAATAATTTGTGGTCTCTTGAAATATGCAGAGGGCTGCAATCTGATTGCCTTCTACTTCCTTCACAGGACTTCAAGAACAAGCCATTTTGTCCCATCTGTGATTAGTCCATGAGGAATAAATATTTTTTCTAAATCATCAGTGTAACAGTTAAATATAGAAAACCAGCCAGGTGTGGTGGCTCACACCTGTAATTCCAGCACTTTGGGAGGCTGAAGTGGGAGGATCACCCAAGGTCAGGGGTTTGAGATTAGCCTGGCCAACATGGTGAAACTCTGTCTCTACTAGAAATACAAAAATTAGCCAGGTGTGGTGGTGAGTGGCTGTAATCCCAGCCACTTAGGAGGTTGAGGCAGGAGAATCACTTGAACCTAGGAGACAGAGGTTGCATTGAGCCAAGACCGTGCCATTGTGCTTCAGCCTGGGCAATAGAGTGAGACTCCATCTCAAAAAGAAAGAAAAAAAAAAGGGAGAAAAAAGAAAACCAGTCTAGGTCATAACCTGGTTCAAATCACTAATCATGATGTGCAGCTGTGGGCCTCCATGAAGAAACTGTCTTAAAAGAGGGGCATGAAAGGGTACCTTTACTTAGGTATTTGAAATTCCCATGTTTTAAACGGTGGTTGGATGACAAGACCATCTTGCAGCAGCCCATGTGATCCCTTAGCTAGAGTTGTCTGGTAGAAGGAGCACCGCTCTTCTGGTCTTGAACAGACAACGGCCTACTTGCCCCAGTTTGCACCCCCAGAACTGTCCCAGTTTTTGCACTGAAAGTCTCACATCTGGGAAATCTTCAATGTTTCGGGCAAGTGGGATGACTTGTCATCCTGACCTGGAGTCAGAGACATAAGCTAGTTGTGGGACTTTGCGACTTTGAGCCACTTTTCCATAAACTAATTCTGGGGCTTTGAGCACATCACTTCATTTATCAGAGTTTTTTGCCTCATGCATAAAATAGAAATGGTGGCACCTCTGTCCCAGGCCTGTTGGGGAGATCTCATGTGAAAATGGCGCCTGGGACTCAGGAGAAGCTCAAGAATTCATGGTTAAGTTTACATTTATTATCAGCTTCTGGTATCAAGGCAATAATCCCTCCCAGTGACTGTACTGGTCTGCTATTCAGTGAAATGGGATCCTCAGATACTTGTAACTCAAGCAGGCCTTTCCCTTAATAACAAAAGAAAATTCTGAGCCTTGGTAGATGAAGCTATCACCCAAGCTGAGGCCTGACGTCTGATTATGGTGGTAAATGCATCTTGTGTTGGTTTCAAGGCTGTAGTATATCTTCAAGGTTTTGAAGTATTCAATGTCATATCAGGGAGATTTATAAGACAAACCATCAATGTTTAATTTCATTTGCAGAAAACCATGTTTTTGAGTTACAATATGGGTGTCACCTGATTTTCAAGAAAATCAGGAGAAGCAAGGCCAAGTTTCAACTTGAAAAAGGGATCTAGGCTTTTCCATTTTCTGTGTCATTAAGGGCCCTGACCTTGGCTCATTAAAGACATATAACCTGGAAGCTCGCTACTGGATGTGCTGCAAATA